ACCTAAAGGTGAAAAGGTGTCAAGTCCATTTTTTATTTATTTTTTTTATTTAGTTTTTGATGCCAGATAATGCCTCTCTCTCTCTCTCCTGAATAATATCAAGAAATGGACTTGGCCCTTTTTCACCATTAGGTAACGATATTTTTATACATACTTCAAAACTAATTTCTTTCAGGCATGTCTTTAGCATTGGTTTGTTTCTTTTTTTCCTTTAAGCCACTCTTACTCGACTTTTTTTCTAAAATTTCGAAGGACAAGTGTTTTATCAAGAGAATGAATGTTGTCTGCTGCCTACTAGATAGTCTTTGAATATATGTATATATATATTTTTTTTTGATGTTTAATGGTTGTTCACTCTATTTGTTATAAAAGAAATTATGTGTTTACTCTACAGAGTACTAAATAGACGAAATTTTGTGTTTACTCGATCGAGGAGTTCAGCTAAGCCGGGGTTTAGTCAACGTCGCTTGCACCGTGTACTTTAAGATCCGACTGTGAATGTCGAACGTTTCCTGAAAAATATAAAAAGCCGGCCGGCCCCTACGTTTGGCAAACATTTCTTTTCCAATTTGCGTTGCAAAATACTCCTTTTTTTCTGATATGGTCTACATCGTGTCTATGTATGTAAAAATAATCTAAAATCTATTAGGATAATAGATAAATAGATAGAATAAAAATAAAGACTCCGTACACTGAGAAAAGCGTCAGCTAAATTGATATATTTCTCTCAACACAACATTTGATAACTATAACTAAATCATGTGTTGAGAAAACATATTTATTTAGTTGACGTAACTAAACTCTTCTCAGTGTTGACGGGTCGGAAGATGACCAACTACATGTAGGTAAGACGTAATTATAGGATGGTTTTCCGGGACATGTCCCGGTTTTAGACTGTTCTTGCAGGTGTCCAGGTACAGCCTTGAAAAGTCCCGGTTTCCCATAAACTTTCTGGTTTTAATGCAAAAAAATTTAGCTTGTTTAATTTTTATCGAATTTCACTACTCCTTTGCAAATGTACAATACAACATCTTCGAATGATAAGAGCTTTTGGTTTGGGTTTATGATTGTGCCGATCTCTTAATAGCAGAAGTTGTTTTCATTTAATTTATTTATGTTCTGTTAATAATGCTGTTAAATTCCTTGTAACTTTGTGCGAGATAATTTTTACGATTTACGATTTTTCCAAAATTTATATTTAAGTCTAACAAATTTGCATTAAAAATCAACCCCTAAAGCTGTTAGCATATTTTTTTCCGATTTTTGATCCCCTGTAATTTTCCGCCTCTACATTCTATAAAAGGGTATGTATAAGCAAATACAACTTGTACTAAGTGGGCGTAGTTTAACTGTTTCGCGCGCCATCAACATCTGCACGAGCGAGACAACGCATTTGAAGCAACAAAATCAGTGTGCGAAAAGCAGACAAAGCAAACGACAGAAGCCATCAATAAATCTGAGTGGTGGTGGTGATTTTGACTTTAACAAAGCAACCGAGCGACAGTGCCTGTAGCTGTGGTGGATTAAGAAAGTGCCGCTACAAAAGCAACCATAAACAAGTAGCCGTTCAACTGAATACGAACAGCGCGTTGAGTGAGGGGAAAAAGTATTTTGGTTGGTAGAGAGCGAGAGAGAGAGGGAGAGAGCTAAAGAATTTATTTCGTGCTTTTTAAAGAATACGGTAAATGAGCGGTTGTGCGCTGCAATGGGGCTGGGAGAGCCAGTGAGGTATGTGTGCCCGTGTGTGTCTGAGGTTTGTGTGGTAAAATAGTTGCATTGGTGTGTGCGTGCGAGAATGCTTCGTGCGGTTTTGTGAAGCTGTTTATTGTTTGTTCGAATGTTAATGCTGATTCCTATGGGAATTAAAGTGACTTGTGGTTTTTGTACATTCATATAAAGTTGTTTTTGGCTCAGCCTTAGCGTGATCGAAAATACACATGTATGAAATGAAGCTATGTGGTGTGATGGAAGCTGGATGTGCTGTACAAATGCTTTTTTGTTGTTGTTTTTATTAGAGATTTACATTGCTCTTATTTCGCTGCTGCGACGTTTTTACTTATACGAATTTATGTATACATTATATTTTATTTATTTATTTTGTGGAAAAAAACATTCGTTTGAGATTCTTTCGCATGAATGTGCCGCAGCTTTTCATAAGCAACAGTTTAAGTAAAAAACGCGAACGATTCGCTAGGCGGGCGCGTGAATAGACGGAAAGTGTAGATTCAAATTTAGCTAAGCGCAATTCTAATGGAAATTAAAATTTTATGTAACCAGAACTGTGTGGGATTGGAGAGCGTTTTTCGGCACAGGAAATGAAATAAATAAAAGGTGCGCTAAAAAAAAGTGTGGCAAAAACAAACAAACATTTAATAAAAAAACGGTAAAAATATTGAGACATTTTTAAAAAAATTAAAAACTAAAAAAGTGCCCAAATGACCACCGGGTGTGCGAAAAAATGAAATTTCCTGCGCGTAGCAACAACAAAAGCTCAATAACTTTAACTGCAGCGCACAGTGTTGGTGCTGGCGGTGGTAGCAGCATGCGCGCTACAAAATATGCTAACGCCCACAAGGACAACAGCTGCAAGGACACGAACAACAAAGAACGTCGTGCGCCCAGCTTGTTGACAAACGCAGTAAAAATGAAAATTACCAAATGCAATGCCACCAAATTGGCTAGCGCTGCGAATGGAAATAAGCCTGCTTCAGCTACAACAACAACAACAGCAGCGGCGGCGGCAACAGTAAGCAACGCAACAACAACAACAACAGCTAGTGCGTTTAACAGTAATAATCTCAGTAGATTGTTGAATGAAAGTCACAGAATACAGTTAACGCCAGGCGCTCAAAACCAGCAAGACGCACAAGGATTGCATTTTGTGAATAGACAACACTATCGACCAACGCCGCAGCCGGGTGAGGGAGTGTGTGGTGAGTACGCGCATAGAGGATCCCACATGTTGAATGCGAATGCAGGCGGCGCAGATGGTGAAAGGCGACGCGCACAAGTGCAACAACAACAACAACCCTCAACGTCTTATTCACGGCAGCAGGATCAGCTATTGGCGGAAGACATGCGTGCTTATGCCACAAGTACAGCAGCAACAGCTACATCCATTGGGCATGAAAATCCAGAGCGACGCAATGCAACAACGCCAATGGCTGACACACCAGCAGGAGGGAGGATGGTGAGCAGCAGTAGCAGCGTTGGTGTGGTAAAAGAGGAAGAGAAGAGTTCACCACAGCCAGTGGCCACAGCGGCGCTGGAAAGGATGACATCCATAGCGACTGAGATGCGCACTGCGCTGCCGCAACAGCAAGCAGTCATGCGAAGTGCTGGGGAGAATTGTGCGCAGCCGAGAGGCACAAGCGCCTATACAACAACACCAACAACGGCTGCTTTGGCATGCACAAATGTGTACTCACACGCGCACTCGCTCGCTCGATCGTCAGCACAAACACCAACACCAACACCAACACAAGCTGAACAGCACGCTTCGTACTCGTCACCTACGTCTTCACAGTTGGCTACCTTGCTTGCATTGCCTGCCACTTTGCCGCCGTCATTGGCGTCGTCGTCGTCTGCGGCAGACGCAGCGGCAGCGGCAGCGTCCAAGTCCACGTCCGTGTCAGTGTCCGTGTCGTCGTTAAGGTCCGCGACACCACAGCTCATATCAGTTGTCAACGAAACATCAAACCAAACGGTGTTACGTACGATCGGTGAAGCCCGAACAGCAACTACAGTAACAACGGCCTTTGAACAAACGCCAAATGCAACAATAACAAAAATACCCACAACGCTTGCAACTAATGCAATTTTCAAAGTGAAATTAGAGAATAGCGAAGACGTCGAAACGGATAATAATCAGCAGCAGCAGAAGGCAAGCACTAGTGACGTCGTTGTTCGAGATAGTGTCGGCAATACGGAACACCAACAACAACAGCCGCTACAACAGTTGGCGTCGCGCGATAAAAATGCCAAAAACGCTGATAAGTGTCGAAATGCGATAACAACGTCTACGGCGATATCAACAACAGCAACATTGCCGCCGGTTGTAGCAACAAATGTCGCGCAAATATCGGTTATCAATAGCAACAATAAGAACAACAACAACAATAATAACAATAGCAAATTGTGTGTTAGTGTAAACAGTACAAATCCAAGTGATATCAAAAATGCAAAAATTAGTGATGAACCACAACAAAAACAACAACACGAACAAGAGCAAGAACAAGAAGAAGTCTCAAGGGCAGTTGTAGAGCAGCAGCAACAACAACAAAGTGATTTGCTGCCACTAAACTATCGCGGTGTCAACAATTCAGTGATTATAGCTAATTTTAATAGCAACATCAGCAACAACAATAATAACAATAACACTAACAACAGCACAGCATCCAACGCGGCGCACTACGAGCAAGAAGAGGAGCGAGCGACCACAGCGCAAGAGCAACAGCTGTTGCAGGACGAGCAGCAGCAACAGCAACAGCATCAGGAGCAGCAGCATTATTTGCGCTACACGCAGCAATTACCGCAGGACAGCATCGACGAACAACAGCAGCAGCAGCAACAACAATTGTTGCATCTAACCTCGAATATACTCAACGGCACTGATCCCAACTTAAATTTGGCCGCTGCCGCTGTCGATTTGCAACAACAGCACCAACACCAACAACAACAACATCAACATTGGCTATCCGCCTACAATAGTTGTGCCTACGATCTCTCACGTCATCATCATCAGCAACAGCTGCAACAGCAGCAACAGCACCACCACCAGCAACATTTACTGCAATTGGAGCAACAGCATCAGCAACAACAACAGCAGCAGCAGCACACCAAAGAGTTGCTCGAAAAATCCGATTTGATTGCCTTACATCCATCACATTTACTCTTCTCGCCACATCTCACCTCACCAGCATCGCCTTACGTACACTCCACATCGCCGCATCATTTGCATCCACATACGCACGCACACGCAGTACATCATACACAATTCATTGACGACAACATGCGTAACAATTTCAGTTTGTACACACCTTATGGTGGCCATCCACACCATGAACATTTGCAACATCACGCCACCAGCACTGGCGCTGCGCCCAGCAGCATTGATGAGGTTATACAGGATACGCTGAAGGATGAGTGTATGGAGGATCATCATGGCGTGAGCTATTGCACATTGACCACAGTGCCCGATTTGAAGGATGCCTATCATCATCAGCATATGTTGGCCGATCAACAGGTGCTGACGCCCACCCAACTGCATCAGCTGCATGTGGCTACACAACATCACAACAATTCGGTTAGTTCGGGTGGTGGTTCACCGTCGCCTACATCACTATCGCATGGCGGTGTGCCAGGAGATGGCGCCAGTTTTACACAGCTGACGAATGCGACCACCTATCGGGATGTTTATGGTAGCTTTCCTTCGGATCATACAGTCATGTCGCTATTTCCGTCCTCGCTGAGTCCGGTTCTATCGAGGTGAGTGAAAGTATATATTTGTTGTTTTTTTTTTTTAACTTATTTATGTAAAAATTTTTGGCGTATGAAAAAAAGGTTTTCAATAGAATTTTATGTGAATCTTACTCTTTAGAGAATTCAAATGGTTCCTATCTAAAAAAAAAAGAAACAGATTAAGAGAAAGGAAAGTGAAAGATATATGTATTATCCAAAATGAAAAAGTAAATACTTCTACCCAGAGCAATTATTCCCTTTATTGACGAAATTGTTTCGCACTTACAGTGCTTCCAGATTTTTTTTTTCAAAAAACTGTAAATTTCTTTAATAACTGTTTCGTTCGACTAAGAAACTATAACATTCAAAAATTAAGAGAGTTTTTAAAAAAATTAAGGTGTTTTAATTTTATTAAATATTAATAACAAAAAACGATTCATTTAAAATAAAATAACATAAAGCGTTTAAATTATACTTAAATGAACAAAAATAGACGTTAAAAAATGGTTTGCTACTTTCTTTAAGCATTTGATTCCATGCCTCAAATTTAGTACCTCCTGAAGTTTTTTTTTAAGAAAGCTTTAGAGATTAAAGTACCACAGAGTTCTGGAATTTCTACTTTATTTCTTATTTTATTCAAATTGATTTAGAAAAATATTCATTCCACATTTGCTGTAGCGACTGCAATGCAAAGGACAGCTAAAGCCCTTTGTTTTAAATAAGGAAACGCTGCTCGTTCATCGTCCCCTAAGCTTGTCGAAAAACTGTAGTATATGGTTAAAATTGTGATTCTGCCAATATTGCACACTTTTCTTCTAAAAACACAAAAACTGGCGACTCGAAGTTTTATCATTAGATGTGATCAAGTCGAGAACAGTTTGGATTAGATTAACCGCCCCCATAATTTTTCAGTCTCTCCATGCCTACCATTGATTTTTAGCCAAACATCAAATATCAGTTTTCGTTTGTGGCTTCGACTTCTCTTGCATTGACGAAAACATTTTTAACTAGGTAGAAGCTGGTCTATAACTTAAGTGCAGCTGGATACCCCTTAAGGCTTCTAACGTCCTACTTCTAGACTTTTTTCCACTACGTACTTTTGTTTCTAGTTCTCCGTGGTCTTCTTTTTACGCGGTTTTTTCCAACATCTTCCATTTACTTTTTTCAATATTTAATGGACGATATTTCCTTTGCTTCGGTAATTGTTCGAGAGTGTAACTTTTTTATGCGTTGTTTTAAATAAGTTTTCTAAAGACCCAACTAACCGAGTAAAAAAGGATCAAGTGTAGCCATGAGTATTCTAAATACATAAGTTGGCTTTGAATACCAAGCCACATTTTCTGAGGGAGAATTGAAGTTAAGCCACGATACATTTCGCATAAAGTCCAGATCCGCGACCAGTGTGGATTTTGGGGGCTTCATTAAGGATTCTCCTATATGACAGACACTGACTGACGTTTAGATTTCTGATCGTATTTTAAGGCTTTCGAAGACTTTTTGTTCAACGCGAGAATCCTACAGAAGTTTGTTTGTATCTAAGAAATCGAAATACATATGCAGTGACTCCTCTTAGTGTAGAGGGAACGAGGCCGTCCAACCTCTCCCTTCTATTTAGTGAAAGGGACAACAATAGTTCTATCGGACAGAGGGGTGCTTCCCCTAAAATGCTAGCTTAGTAGTTTGAAGCTCCCCTCTATATATACCTACCTTTATTTGCTTTCAAATGCTCAGATTTTGGAGAGAAATCGGCTGAGGCATGTCTGTTCGTCAGTCTGTTTGTTGAGGTATCTCAACAATAGGATAATATGATGAGGTGTGCACTGCGACTTAATTATATATTGTGTCCTCCGCTCTTCCCTCTAAGTCTGAAGTGGTATGTAAGGAATCCTCCGAGGAAGGGCTCGGGACCAACTGGAGTTATAGCTGCCCTCTTCGTTCCAAAAATCGGGATATTTCTAAAGCGTCGAATCCGAATGTTAATCAAGATTTTAAAAATTTTAATCAGTGTTTCTAGTATTGTTTTGGGTAGCCCATTAAATTTTAGTATAATAAAGTGCAAGTTTGAAGTGACTTGTACTTACCGTTGATTTCTGCCAATTTTTTGTTCGCGCATTTTCTTCTATACAAAGTATGTTCAACAAATTTTTTGTACTTGTTGTGTATGTAAGTTCTAGCTACTTTAAATTTGCTGTTTAAATTGAATGGGCTACAAAACTGCATACTCAGAATATTTCTAAGAAATTTAACTAAAAAGCTCAAAATTTTGCTGAATCTTTTTTTTGCTAATTTTTGAACAAAGTTTGAATTTTTGACTTACATTTGTTAGACAACGTGCTACACTATAAAAAATAAATAAAGAAACATTAAATAATCGAAAAGAATGCTAAAATGTCTCCTCCCTATTTATATTTCCGCCACTTTATCTATAGCTTATATTTTTCATATCCATGCTTTTATTGAGGGAATTAATAAATTTTTTGAATTTCACTAAATTCAAGTTAGAATCTTTTCTTACAAAAAAAAAAGGCTTAACAAATAATTCTAAAAACCTTCAAAAAAATTTGGACAAGAATAATAAACTGCAATAAATCGAGAGCCCCAGTTTGACAGAACAAAGCATAAAGGTTATAGTAAATAGGGATGCTGGCTATGTTTATGGTTCCCTTATATGTATTCTATGTCCTTTGTTATAACGAAAGTGTTGCCACGTTTGTACGAAAAATTGTTTTTTGGGCCAGACTACAGGGAGATTCTTATCAAATTAATAAAGAAAACACTGAAAATCGGGACTTAATCGGTACAAATATGAAAAATCGGAACACGTATACGTCCCGACTTTTAAAAAAATATTCAGCGGGACAATTTTCTCAAAATCAGTGCTGTCCTGCCAAAATCGGTGCGAATGGTCACCGTAGGTATAAACACGTGACGCGAAGTGAAAATAGGCTGGTTTTCTTTAAACAGCCCGTTTGAAGTTTGAATTATTATTCGGTTAATTTCCATTCCATTTCAGTCAATCGCGTAAATTAGTTATTAAAGAAATATCGAAAGATAACAGCGTTATAAAGCAAGAAATTGCAAATTATTGGTAATTGGACGCAGACCACGCATGCATGGAAAGTGTAACATCATTTTTGAAAAAATGCAAATTGCTATAAAAAATTAAGAAAATGTACCTCAAATTAAAATTTTAAATTAGATGTTTAAAAGAAGAAAAAAAAATTTGCTAAATTAAAAAAAAAAAAACATGTCACGGCTCACTTTATGTGAAATGGATGTATGTATGTCAGTAACATCTATATCGACTTCCTCCAAACTTGGAACATACGTTTATATTTTATATGGTGATTTTTTTTTTAATGGAAAATAACTACTACCATATAACGGCAATGCATAGAAAAACGAAAATAAATATAAATTTTTTAAGCCGGGTGTAAGAAGTTCGGCTTCGCCCACGCTTATATTAGTTTTATTCTAATTTTTTTATGACAGACATTTTTTTCCTCTTTTTGTTTAAATGTTGTGTTTTCCCCCAACGTATTTTATTGGTTTCGCTACAGAATAAAAAAAAAAAATTCTATAGAAGATTCATTTGGTTTTCGAATTTTTAAAACGCAGTTTACAAAAACCAAAAAAACTAGAGAATAACAACTTTTAACCAGATAACCTGATAACCAGGTAGATGTGAATACCCCAAAAGTTTTCCATTTTAAATATTTTTCTTTAATTCTCTGCTAAATTGTGGCAAGTTTCAAACTAAATGCGGAATTAATAAGAATTGTAGCAAATTTTCATAAAAATTTCAAAATCTTTAATAAGAATTTTCTTCCATACATATAACGAGCGATCGATTTTTTACATGGAAGATAATGCGGAATACCGTCAGCAAAAAAAATATCAAAAATCAATGATAATTTTAAGCCATTTCAAACTTGTATGTTATATAAAAGTTCACACACGATTTTTTTTATTCTTATTAAAAAGTTCGAAATTTTGATTAAAATTTGCGGAGTTTTTTCAAATATTGCAAAAAGTTTAAAACTTGGTTTTATATGGTGTTTGTTAATATATACGCCACATTTAGCATGAATAACATTGTAAATATAAAAGAAAAAATCACCGTATACTCAATTTTGTGACTAACTCTATCTATCTAAGTAGAATATAATAAAATCTATGGATTTTCTAACTTAAATATTTTTTAATTACCTAGTCAGTAATTTCAGGCAAAGTTGAAAATTCGCGCAACCAGCAGCAGTTTTACTAGCAGACAGACAAA